ACCAGTTACTCTTTCACACACAGAATGATCAGTGAATAAGTTGGCAGGGCTCGGGCTGCATGACAGCTTTCTATACTTGGAGAACTTATAAAATTTACTCCCAAAGAAACAGTTGTGGTCACCACGGTCATGGTCTATGGATTCACCTGTCACCTGAACAGTAAAGCGCTAACTTTGAACTCACTTTTTGTTGGTTGAGGCATTGACTTCTGGGCTGTGATGGCAAAGAGGGTGCAAACTAGAAATTATTTTTGCTGATTCATACAATGTTTTTATTATAGCAACTATACTTTCAGTTAGAATGAATATATATCCTGTGGTTTAAATACAGATTTTTTTTAAGAGAAAGGGTGACCCCCTGTGGCAGTTTTGAAACATGACTGAAGAATCTTTAGCACGTGTATCAAAGTGGACATATACCTGCTTATCTTTACTTGTGGCGGCCCTGTGATTACTCTGAGAGTAGAGAACAGCAGAAGGGATGCCATGTGACATCAGAGGCTAGATGGAAAAGACTATTCAGCTTCTCCTTGCTTGTGGTAATACTTGCTCTTGAAGCCCTGAGCCACCGTGCACGAAGCCTCATTCACCTTAAAATCTCCTTGCTGGAGAGGCCACATGTGGGCAGAAGGGTTGACGGTCCCAGCTGAGCTTAGTTGGCCAGTCATCTATACCAAGGTGGCAGACACATGAGCAAAGCCATCTTGGACCTTCCAAACCAGTCATCTGCCCCATGAAACAAAAGAATTTTCCTATGAAGCTTTGCCAGAATTGCTGACCCACAAAACCATGATATTTAATAAAATAATGGTTATTTGAAGTCAACCTTTTAGGTAATTAAAAATATTTTATTTTTGAATATTGGCATTACAAGTAATTTTATTTTTCTTTATTTCCACTTAATGTATTTTCTCAATATTTCATAATAAGCATACATTTTTAGTACTAATATTGAATATAATTTTTAAAATTAAAATAATTTTAAAATTTTCAAATATTAAAATATATACAATTTATAATTATAGAATTCTAACTGCAAAAGTATTTTTCCAATTTTATTCTATTTTATTAATAGCTTATTTTTTATTGAATTGATTGGGGTGACGTTGGTTAATAAAACCATAAAGGTTTCAAGTGTACAAGTCAACAAAACATCATCTACATACTGCATTGTGTGCTTATCACCCAAAGTCAAGCCTCTTTCTGTCCTCATTTACCCTCTCTTTGCCCACTTCTATCCCCACCCACTTTCCCTCTAGCTATTACCAAGTTGTTGGCTGTGTCTATGTGTCATACATGTATGATATATCTTAATCCCTTCACGCTTTAGCATAGTTTTTAATGCAATAATAGATAATTGGAACACACCTTGTGTTAATTCAGGTTCTCTAAAAAGCAGATGTCAAGATGGGATTAGATATGCAAGAGATTTATTGCTAGGTATCCTTCACTATATTTAGGAAGATGAAAGGAAGAGTAGAATAGGTGAGGAGAGCCATAAGACCATGGTGTATATCTGGAGACTGTGAAGTCTTAGGATACATCACAGTTCTAAGAAAGTTTGACCAGGCTGATGGGGGTCTCAAGCCTATTAGAGAAGTCTTATTTATCCAGAATTCTTAACCATAAAATTGGAGTTCTGGAATTGCGTGTTATATGTGGTATTCTAGAATTTGTAGAATTAGCTCAGAAACTCATTAAAATAATTTAGAATCCCAATATTAGAGCTTTCTCTCACATTGCATATTTTTATTATAACACTTAAAATGTTGTATTATAATAATTTCATGAGCATCTGCTTTATTCATCAGAGTTTGAGATTCTTGAAAGAGGGTTCTATGTCTTTCTCACCTTTGCATTTCTTTACTCCTTAAGTTCCTGACTCCATAGCTAGCTGAGAAAAATGGTCAAATTATGTTTTCTGAGTAGTTTTTGGAATAAACTGTAATTATCTGGTTTATTTACAAAGATTTATTGTTGACAAAATAGCTGAATGTTTATTACCTTTTTAAAAATATGTTGCAAATACACGTCTAAATAATCATAGTAAAGAAAATCACATGTAACCTAGGAAATTTTTTTATTTTTGCACTTTGATATTCCTACCTTGGTAAATTGGTAAATATTTTTTATAGTCTTGTCAACTAGTACTAGTCCCCTGCCCTTTTCTGAAAGATTATGGATGGGAGAGTTCATAATTCATAAGTTGACTTCCTAGAAAACACATCTCATCTTGGGAATTCCTTACCTAAAACCTTCCCTGTCTTTGTAGCCTATTGCAGTAGTTTCCAGATTTCTGGATTTCATGGACTAGTCTCATTTACAATATCAGGGCACTGACATTTATTTGGCAATGCCTGAACATACTTTTGTTTGCCACGACTGAGGATGTCCTACTGACATCTTGTGGGGAAGGACAGGGATACTGCTTAGCATTCAAAAATATGCAGGGCAACCCAGTGAAGAATTATCTGGTTGAACATGCCAATGGGGCTGAGGTTAAGAACCTTTACTTATGCACACCAATGTGAACATATTCAACAACACTGCACTCACTATACATTCAAAGAGGGTTAAAATAGTAAAAATTTTTTTTACAGTATGCTCTTTTTTTAATTTTTTAAAAAGTTTTTTATTTTTATTTATTTATTTTTAGAGAGGAGAAAGGAAAGAGAAAGAGAGGGAGAGAATCATCAGTGTGTGGTTGCATCTTGCGTGCCCACTGCTGGGGACCTGGCCTACAACCCAGGCATGTGCCGTAGACTGGGAATTGAACTAGCGACCCTTTCCTTCACAGGCTGGTGCTGAATCCATTGAGCCACACCAGCCAGGGTGTAAATTTTATATGTGTATTTTAGCACAAATTTTTTAAAAGAACATGGGGCATGATAGTCTAGGGAAAATTTCTATTTACAAGTCAGCTTTATGCTATTTTCATGGGAATAAAAAATTTAAATTCTTTGCTTCAGTTAGAGCTTAACTTATTGTTAAGATTGGAGTGTGTGGTGAGATACATAACAGAGCTCATATCTCAGATACCATAGGAGAACCAGTCTGGTTACTATGTCAGAGTTTTTTAAACAACATGCATAAACTAACTCTGACTGACATAAGCAAGAGACAAAATTTATTAGAAGGTAATGTAGTCAGTTGTAAAACCTGGAAGAGAAGCCTTGCACCTAAGGTGTTTGTAGGACAGGACCCTGGGCCACTTCAGGGATTTATTTCAGTGGAGGAATGAATAGGCAGTGTCTCCAGAAACCACTGCCAAGATGGATTAACCTCCAGTGTTTTCAGCAGAGTGTCTGATAGGCCAAACTTGGGTTCTGTGCTCCCTTAACAGCCCAGGCAGTGTGTGGCATCTTAAGTGATGTCCCTGTATACTGTCTCTGTCTTCCAAAGTAGAATGAAAGGATGCCGGGCAGGTAAAAACAACTGATATCCATTTCAACTGCACGATAAATATTGCCTTCTGCTGCGCAAACCAAAATGCAAACAGACAGACAAACAAAAATATGCTTTAATCTCTTCTGTATTTGCTTACATAAACCTTATGGAAATCATTTAACCTCTCATTTGTTTTGTCATCTATAAAATGAGGAACTTGAAGTCAATGACTTCTAAATTCCTTTTCATTATGTTATTATAGACTTACTCCTTAGGTTTTCAAAGGATATTTGAATTCCTATTTGTATATACTTCATATTTTGCCTAGATATTGGATTTGCCCCTTCATCAGATCTATCCCTAAAATGGTTTCCTAATGCTTTGGTGTTAGTGTGTGTGTGTGTGTGTGTGTGTGTGTGTGTGTGTGTGTGTGTAATTTATAACAGTAAGGAAGTAAATTCCAATTCTTTATCCCTCTATTTATAGAGACAACCATGCACGGTGGGGGGCATGTAGAGGGCATGTAGGGGGGCATGTAGAGCTGAAATGCAAAGTCTCTTTGCCAGCTGTATGTCCTGCTCCAGGCTTAAGCTCTGAGTAGAGAATGATTCTTCCAGAGAAACACATTACTAAGTCTCTGTGTATGGAAAGGGAGCTCTGGAGCTGTGTGGGCTTAAGGAAAACGAGTTTGTGGAGGAAGTCAGAAGGAATGGAGTCCTGAGACTTGAGGATTAGGGAGAGACGTGGTGGGACGTTGCAGAGGTAAGTGGCCAGTGAGAAACTTCTGGTGCTGGGATAGGTAAGAGATTTGAAGGATGGGGATAATATCTGGCTATATTTTCATTCAATTCATTGTCTTTGTGCAACGTAAAATACCACTGTTGATGCAAGTCTTCAACAAGGTCAATAGTCTCACAACGCCTTGTAGTACTCATTTGGAGTAAGTTAAAGAGAAAAGGGTGAGACTGATACTTTAGTCGGCAGGGAACACAGAGCAGCTGTGGCAGGAGAGGCACTGTGGAAGCAGAAGGTCAGGGCTAAGAACATGGACCCATAAGTGACTATGCAAATGTAAAACCTTGACAACTCACATGCATTTTGAGGGAAGAACTGGAGTTTCCAGAATACTTAGAGTAAGAGCTTGGGCCAAAGGATAAGGGGCACTGAGTGTAATTTTGAGATACACTAATGAACAAAAAAGGGTTGGAGCTCTCTCCTTACATACCTGGTGATAGGGTCAGGTGCAGCCGAAAACCCAAAATAATGTGTTGTGATTTTTTTAGTCTTAATCTTTGATTTCATTGTATAGCATGTCTTCTCTTGACATAGAAACAGTGTTCCTAAATATAAATCATTTCCTCAGGAAATAAAATTTTATTTCTTTATTTAACAGTCATTGATATTTTTTAAGTGTAAGTTACCTGAGGGGAGACATAGCAGAGAAAGACACAATTGTGCCATAAAAAGCTTATTTCCAGAGAGGGAGAGACATGGAAAAACCAACCATAATACAAGGAAAGATAAAATAAGTGCTAAATGGGGTGCAGGAATAGTATGCACTGATTTGGGTTGTGGACAATGAATGAGAATCCAATGAATGAGTTTGTATTCTCCCAGAAGTTTCTAGTTCTCTCTTCAATCACTTCTCTCACCTGTTAAGAGAGAAAATAAAAATATTTTTAACATAGTATAAAATACTATACTAAGACTATAAAACTATATTAAGACTATACAAACTCATAAACACATCTTAATTGTGTATAATTTATCATTAACCCAGTTGTGCATTCTGTGCCTGGAACAAAGGTTTTGAACAACAATCTTCAAAGACTAAGAAGGAAGTTTTGTGTGGAATGTAGGTCTGGGGGTCAGGTATTGGCCATTTTACCAGCTGTATAATCTTGGGCAAATTACTACTTAGTCTCTTTTAATGTTATATTACCAATTTGTAAAATGAAGATAATAACAACCCATTGGACTGTTAAATGAGTATAATGCTCATGAACTGTTTGGTGCACTATAAATACTTGGTGCATTTTAGCTATTATTTTTATTATTCTGGTAAAAGCACTGGATAATTTTATATCCATGAGTTTATTCACCTTTTTTGAATTTATATTTTCTGTTCATATCACTTCTTGGATTAAAAAACTTCCTAAATTTAAAACCTATAACTAAATCTTACTTTCATTTGTCTAGAAGTTAACTCTTTCTGTCTTTGCCTAGGGCAGGCACCTCATTGTCCAATACTTGAGGATCTAATGCACCAGCCTGTCTTCTTCTAATTATTCTGCCTCAGAATCTTTTTAAGTCCCTTCCTAATTTTCTTAAGGTTTCAAGACAGTTATGCATGCCACAGAGTATTCCATAGTTTTATGTAAGGAAAGGTACTTTATTCTGTTTTGTTGACAATAACCTTACCAACAGTTGTTAGTGTTATTAGCTCTTTGAGTCAAAACTTTAAGGTTCAATCACATGGTATTTTCAAAAATATGTTCTCTGAAAGACTGTTCTGTGAGGGCTCAATGCGTGTTCCATACAAATGATTATAATTTAGGAAGCACTAAGGTAAACAAGAATTTGTTAGGTACTCTTTAAACATCCTATGTGCCTGAAATACAGTATGTAGCATTTTAGAACTTGTTTTTTCTCCATAACAGTCTTTTTTGGAACTTGTCTTGTAGGACTAGCATTCTAGGAACACAATTTGGGGAATATTGATTGGTAGTAAATTCTAGGTTCAACTGACAGCTTAAGGCCATTATTTTATTGGAATGATTTTGTCTTAAGGACATTATTATATGGAAGTGCATTTATTGCTCTTCTGATCATTCAGAGACTTAAGTGAACATTTTGTTGTGTTATTCTTACCGTCCTGATATTTTACTGGAAAGGTTTGATTATATCTGTGGACTTAAAGATATCATTCTGTATTCTCTTTTCCAAATTGCTCTTAAAACTTACTAAGTAGTGAAAGGCAGAGATATGTAATAGAGAGAGTATGAAATCCCACAGCCCCGGTATCGAATCATTGTTCAAGCATCTGGCAGCCACGTAACCTTGAAGACAACTCATTTAGGCTTTTGAATCATATTATTCTCATCTTTACTTAGAGACATGGCTTTTAACCTTGTCCTTTCATTTCTTTCTCAATACAAATCAGCTTATTTCTTTAAACTAAATCTGGAACTTGACTGTAACAAAAAAGTGTAGATTGGGACATAGGATATTCATAAGCATCATGACCAGCAATTATAAGCAGTTGCTATCAACGATTTACTCCTCTCCCTACACATATCCACAAGCAGGAAAAATTAGGTCACTTTTAATCACCTAGGACTGACTGTCTGGAAGCAGGCAGCTAAAGAGGGAGGCGTTCTGTTCCTCAGCCCACTCCCACAGGGGAGACTACTAAAGTATTTGAACTGAGCAAGGAAGAACAGTGAGTGGCAGCTTGAAAAAAACAAAAACTCCCAAATCTTCTAGTGTCATTTTCATAATTTCACCAAAGGACATTCTATTACTGAAAACCTAAAATCAACATCTTCAGAGTATAAAATAGTCTGGTTAAATTTTGAGTATCTAAAGTCTCAAATTTCTCCCCTCAGTAAGATTTTAGTGTAAGTTCCAGTGTGTTTTTCCAAGTAAATACCTATTTCCCAGGCTTTCTCCTTCAAGCCTACTCTTGGAAGGTAATGTGAGACCTCCCCATTTGAAACCATAAATATTACCATATAATTTCTGAATTCCCTTGATATCATCCTCTGAAAGTTTGAAATCCTCAGAATCTCTGTCTTCATAGGTTGGATACATCACGGCATTAGGGTCAGACGAATGACCGAGACCCAAAGAATGGCCAAGTTCGTGAGCAGCAGCATACAGGAAGTTAATTCCTACAACCAAAGAGTGACGTACAGTAACTATAAAAATAACTACATGTAAAATACAATATAATATATTACACTAATAATAATAAATAAGATAACTGTAAAAATATCCACCTCTTTAAATTCTCCATAATTATTTGTTTCAAGGATTTCATAAGAGGGGAGAAGGGTTTAGAAGGACAATAGAATAGCAGTGTTTTAATCTCATCAATACATCTGTTTTTTTTAAAAGTAGTGTTTCTGTCTATTTTCTCCTTATACAATTATTTACATAGCAGGATTCTAGAGAGGAAAGCAAAAGCTTTAGAAGCATTAAGATCTGGGTTTGAAACCCAGCTCTGATACTTACTAGCTAAAAAACTCTGGGCACATTAATTGATAGTACTGAGTTTCATTTCCTCATTTGTTAAACAGAGATAATAATTCCTACCATGTAGATTTGCCAGAATAACTAAAGTTTTCCAGTATCTGAAAAACAGTGGCTAGTCAATAAATAATAGTAACTTTGAATATCTGGAGAAAGAAAGTTGGTTTTGTGAAAACAAGACTGAAAGGCAGGATCTCTAGGAAATGCTGGGTTTTGCTTTTTATTTATTACATCGTATTATACATATGAGTCTCTCTCTCTCAGACACATAGATAGGTTTTGTAAATAAGGGGGAGGGTGTGAAACTGTGCGTTTGAGTTACCAGAGTTCCAATCATGGTGCATTAGATTGTAGAAAGCTGACTTTAGCCTACCTGGAGTGGAAAGTAAGGAGAATTAAAAAGATACAAAAGATGTGAAATGGAGACTGTCATAGTTTCGCATAGGTTAGATTCTCACAGCAAAGCATCACTGCAATGGTGAATTCCCACTGCCAAACATAAGTACTGATTTCCGTTTTTTAAAAATTGTCTCAAATTAGAATTATTTATGCCAGAGCTTCTCTCCATTAGTTTTCTGATGTGTCTATAATTTCCTACTTTGTTAAGATGATGAATATGATTGGCTGGGTTATGGTGTGAGTTCTTTCTGAACAAGAGTGAATACTTGGAATTGTACATAATTTTTAAATATCACTGTTCCTCTTTTTCCTTCAATTAAAGACAAATTTTGTGGAAACATAAACAAAGAACTATCATTTATTGAATTATTAATAGATTCCAAACACTGTGATAAGCACTGTTTAAGCATTATCCCTTTTAATTCAAACAACATTCCTGTGAGGTGGGAATTATGTATAGTCCACTTTCATAGATGAGGAAACAGGCTCTGAGAAGTTGAATTACTTGCCCAAAGACACATAGGGAGTGATTTGATGAGGTTCAGCAAAGTGAACCCAATGTTGCTTGACTCCATAGCCTGAGCTTCCATCCTCTGGGTATGTAGCATTATGAGGATATTAAAAACAATTTTGCATTTAAAGCATACAGTACAGAGAGTGGCAGTTATCAAGGGCTCAATAATTATTACTAATCAAAGAAATATTAAATTAAAGTTAGTATAAGAAGTTTGGGATTTTAAAAAGGATGTATAGTAGAGAGAGATGGGCTACTGTACCTATACTGCTACCGTCAGTCCAGCGTTCATCCTCATCAAAGTGGGCATCTCCTCCCAGGCCTGGTCCAGGTGAAAAGGCATGAGCCAGTGTGTTTCCTGGTCCATCAAATGGGTAAGCATCCCCGTGAGCTGAAAAAAAAATAGGATGATTGCCTTTCGTGACTGAATTTATCTCTAGTCACTTTATTTTTGATTTTATATGATTATGGAGGCTAGAAAGATGAGCCTAGTGCAAGCAGTTAACGTTGTTATCAGCAGTCAGATGCATACACAGGGTGGTTTGGGCATTTGTCATAGGCAATTTTTCTTTCACAAAACCAGTGTTCATTACTGATAACCGATATATATTGAAAGCTTACTGGATATGGGAATTTAAATACATTCACATCTAATTTATGGTTGCTTCTAAGTTTTCTCACTTTTTTTGGCCAGGTGGTGACATGATGGAGGATGAGTGAGAGAAGTGTATTCAACAAGTAACTTGTATACCTGTTATAGTATAACTTCTCTTAAAAACTTCGCTTAATCTTTGTGGGTACAGGAGACAGTTTCTTGGAGAACCATGCCCAAGGTGTCTTAAATGGATTTGAATGGCTCTTTTAATTGTGATGTGGAGCTATTTATTTTCAAATTGGTATTAAGCCATATCATTTATCTGTTTTGGAAAAATGTGGAATGGCACTGACTGGTGTGGCTCAGTGGGTTGGGCACTGTCCTGCTAAACCAACAGGTCACTGGTTCAATTCCTGGGTCAGGACACATGCCTGGGTTGCAGACCACGTCCCCAGTTGGAGGTGTGTGAGAGGCAACCAAGTAATGTTTCTCTCAAACATCAATATTTCTCTCCCTCTCTTTCACACTCCCTTCCTTTCTTTAAAAATAATTAAATAAAATCTTTTTAAGAAACAGAAAAGAAAAACATGGAATGCCATGATTAGTGCTTTCCATAATATTTTCTTTGGTATTAGTAATATTATGGCTGATGTTCAGTTTCAGCTAAATTCACAGCACCTAGGTATTTCAAATATTAGAACAGAATAAAAAGGGCAATATTTTTCTTTAAATTTGTACCACAAAGCACTAGTAATTAATAACAGTTCATATATATGGGTTATAATTCCTTAAGCTCTTTAACATGAAAGCTCTCTATTTTCTATTTTTTTACTCCATGAAGGATGTTGACAATTGTCCATAGAGACTGCCCCACTTCTTGGAGACCTTTGACCTTAAGGTCTTTGGAAGTTGTAATCTCTTTTCTTGGTTTCATGTTAATGTTATTTATATTTTAAATGGTCCCATAAATGTGTGTGTGTGTGTGTGTGTGTGTGTGTGTCTGTGTGTCATGACTAATTCTATAAAACAGGGATTGGTAAACTTTTTCTGTAAAGGGTTAGACAATGAGTAATTTAGGATTTGCGGGCTTGATGGTCTCTGCCATGATTACTAGACTTTGCCATTGTAGCCCAAAAGCAGCCACAGACAATAGGTAAGTGAAGGATTATGGCTGTGTGGTAATAAATATTTATTTATAAAAACAGGTTGTGGGCTGCATTTGACTCATGGGCCACATAGTTTATCATCCTCTGCTATAAAAAGTGACTCTAAATGTACTAGAAAAAGTATATTAACATCTCTCCCTCCATACATGCGTGCGTGCGTGCACACGCACATGTTCAGAATAATATATATCATTAAAGATTTTAAACTATAAAGAGAGGAGGACACTGATATAAACCATGAGAAAAATAGAACAGAGGACTACCCTGGAGGAATCCCTTCCTTACCTCCTCTTGCAAAGCCAATCATGATATCAGCAATTCCCAATCTAATTCTCTTGAAGTGCAGTGGGATCTCTTTGCTCCACATATTGAAGGCCTTTGCTACTAACTGATTCACTTTGAACTGTGATAAGTCTCGTGTATATGATACGATCCTGGTAGCAAAGAAGAAAACAATGTTTGACTTCTTAGAAAAAAACTTTATTATTTTTGCCTAAATGAACCAAAACAAAACTAACCTGTAGGTGACTACTTTGGAAGTCCATTTTGGGCTACTTGGGAATAGTGAGTATTGTGCACCATCTGGCATTCCACATCTGGGCTTCTGCATTATTTTTATGATGCGGGTGTTTAATATTCCAGTTATAGGCAGGCGAAAGAATTTTTGCATCTCCTTGATTTTGGCTTCTATACTGTTGGCACCCTTTGATTTTGAGTCATATGGATAAAATCTCCTGAGATAGTCCTATTGAAAAGAGAGTAATTGATCTGTAATCCTTGTTTATTGTCTTTTATCTCAGTAGTCTGCACATCATTGCCTTTATACCTATGGACTCAAACATTGATTTGAAGACACAGTAGTTACATAGTCACCAAGTAAAATAACTGCGCATTCATGAAAAGAAAATTTAATATTAATAATGAAGACTTATCATTCCAATTTATGAGCAAAAGGAAAAAAATCCCTCCATTTCTCTTTTATCCAATTAACTGTTCTGAGGGGAAACCTACTGTTCACTTTATATAACATAGACTTATCTGTAATAGCCAATTGGGAAGAGTGACTGCTATGTCCTCAAGGGGCACAACTGAGACCTTCCCTGGCATCAGAGACCCTCTGGGGAGATCCAAGTCCCCTTCTAATGTTCTCTGGAGATGTGGTTCCAACTTGGATTAAAGGGTGTTAAAATTTTAGTCCTGGGAAAGGATAGTATGAAATTATTTCGTTTAATGTACATATTCTCTAAGTAAGGAAATCAAAGCTCACAGCAAATAAATGACTTGCTCAGGGTCATATATTAAATTAGTAGCATAATAAAAAAAATTAGTAGCAGAACTGGTCCTGAGTTTCCTGACTGCTAGTCCTGTGCTCTTTCTACTGTTAAATCTCTAAAAAACCCCACTGTGAGGCTGCAAGGCAGAGCAGGTCCCCTAGGTGTATTCCATGCATAATCAGTCCCTGGGTATTTCTTAAAGGACCCTACTTTCTGAATAGGAGGATAGCTACTGGACTAAATAGGAAAAAATAAAAAAAGTTAATGAAATAACAACAGTGGCAACTGTAGCCTCACAAGAACTTTTATTAAGCACTTACCAGTGGCAAAGACTATTCTAGGGGCTTTATATATTCTTATCTCATTTAAACCTCATAATTATCCTGTGAAGTAGGCACAGCATTGTTATTCCTATTTTACATGAAGAATTGTGGCCCAGAAAAGCAAAATAACTTGCATAAGTTCACTCCATGAGTAACTGAAGGAACCAATATTTGAACTTGTGTTCTGATTCCAAAGCCTACTTCATTAGAAAAATGTACAGGGCTGTATGATGCATGATTGTATTGTTGAAATGATTTAAATATTGGCTCACTCATTGGCAGTGTAATTTGGAGTAGGTCAAATGCTTACTTGTCTCAGAACCTCTCAGAAGTATGCACTTAACCTTAGTAATACTGTGGTTTCTCTTCCTGTTACCAATGATGGTATTCTATTCAAAACAGCAACTACTTACTGCTCATTTGTGACAGTTAGGAATTAATCTCATTTAAAAACAAACAATTTGTTTTATACATTCCAGAGCTACAGGCTTTACAAAAACATCTTCTGGAAGAAATTTTCCGCATCCTTGAAGTGGATTTTCTTGACTTCAGTTAAACCTAGCTAATCTCCCTCTAGTTTATGGGTGATCTGAACACTAAGTAAAGTTTAGGGATTCAATACTCTAGTAAGTGTACACCTTCTGGGTAATCTATTAGGTGGAACTATATGAAATGGTTGTTTTGGAGGAAAAAAATAGAATATCAGTAATTTCATATGATTCAATCTAACATACTGCTTTTAAAAGTCAATGTACAATAAAACCCATCTTTACTAGTGTTTAATGCTTAAATTTATAAATAATACTTAGGAGTAAACAACTCATTATTTTACCAAACAATAATTATTTACACTTATTAGGCTGCTTATGAAGTAATATATTGGAAAGAGCATGATTTTGACCCCGAAAGACTTGTCTTTGACACCTACCAAACCCATTTTTGATTTTCCACCATTAACAAGTATTTGAATCAACTTAATTTTGGTTCCTATTTTTCCCAAGTTTGAGCTAAGGATCAAACGACATAATGTATATGAAGTACCTTATAACTGTTACATACATGATAGTTGGTATTGTTATTACTTCATTTATTTGCTTATTCAGAATAATCCTGTGAGATATAAAATACATAATTATTTCTATTGGACACACGAGAACACAAGTCAAAAGTTCATGCCTTGCGCATCATCATGCTTCAAAATGGAGAGCTGTCACTTGTACCCTGTTTTCTAATTTCTAGTCTCTCCATTACAAGTAGTCTTCATTGTAAGAGGCAGCATTTTGTTCTTTATGAAAAGAATCTGGTTAAACTAAATAATGACAACTTTAATTTATTAAGTAGGAGCAATATTTCAGGTACTGTGTTAAAGGCTTCACAACACCTCCATTTGGTTAATACCATTATGATATCCAATTTCCAAATTAGTAAACTGATGCTCAGAGAAATTTAAAAATATTCCTGTGCTAATAATATTCATCTACATAGTGAATGGAGGTAGAACTTGAACCCAGTTAGGGGAGGCTTTAAAACCTACTCTTTTTTTTTTTGTTTGTGATAAAAACTTTTAAGATTTATTCTCTCAGCAACTTCCATTAAATACAGTATTATTAACTATAATCACAATGCTGTACATTATATACCTGTGACTTATTTATAAAACCTACTCTTAATACTACTTGATTAAAACATATATTACCTTTACAATAGAAAAATTACCAAAATTGGAAAGCGCACTTCTTAATGCTGACGTCAAGACCATGGAGCCCCAGCTGAGAGGGCCAGAGACATACCTGAGCCTGTTCCCACTCTGGCTCATTCATGCCTCCTGCCTCCGGGGGAAGCGGCAGAGCCAGGCTGCTGGGCAGCAGACACACAGTGCACAGCACGGCGAGCTGCATCGCTGGGTCCAGAGACTGTTTTCAGACCTATGGTTGGTTTAGTGTTTTTTCCAGAGGCTGGAGAGACTTATATAGCTTTCCAGTCTTGAATGTAAAAATAGGTGACTCATTTGAATGTTTCCTTTCTTTTTAGAGTCTACAGAACTTTGAAGTGTGCGTTATTTTTCATTAACAACAACGAGGAAGTATTATGTTCTTTTTGGCAGAAAGCACACAATGTATTTGTCTCTGGACTTTTTCCCTTGTGTAAATTCAATCCATGAGAAAACACAATTCATTTGTCAGAATCAAATTGCTACTCAGACATATCTTCTTAAATTAAAATTTTGGGGAACATCATTTAGGACATTACTACATATCTTAAAAGAATTTAAAACATTGAAATGCATAGAGCAGTGCATAAAACATGCAAATAATCAAATAATTTTTAAGCGAATTCTGTTAACAGTCACCAAAGTCAAAAAGTAGAACAATGCTGGCACCGTGTGGTTCTCTCTATGGGGGAATGAGGGCAGGAATAGCAGAGGGAAATGCTGTGCTTTGACTGGGTCAGTGGGCACTGTAGAGCCTGTGCTCCACTCCCTCACCTTCCAGGGACCATTGTGGAGCACTAAGAATTCCCTTTTTCTTTTTAAATCCTCACCTGAAGATATGTTTTTGAGAGAGAGAGAGAGAGAGAGCGAGAGCGAGAGAGCACTGTGAGAGAAATATCGATCGGTTGCCTCCCTACCTGCACCCAAGGACTGGGCATGCAACCTAGGTATGTAGGTATATGCCCTGGCAGAGGATCAAACCTGCAACTTTTCAGTGTACGAGATGATGCTTCAACCAACTGAGCCATCCGGCCAGGCCAAACATTCCCTTTTTTAAGTCTTCTTTTAATCAAATTATTTCTTTTCTTAGTGGTCAACATTACTCAGAATTTCTTTTGAATTACATGAAAAAATATTAAATGAACAAAAATCTTTAAGCATGGGCTTGACTGTTCATTTAGTATACTTATCATGCTTCACATTCTGTAGAAACAGGATTTTCCAAAATTAAGCCTTCCATTTGGGAATCACTTTATATGCCCTTTCTCTTCTAATAACCCTGACTCCAGTTGCTAAGCAGACACTGGTAGGGCTGGTTTGGTCCTTGATATACATAATGGTTGTGTGTGTGTGTGTGTGTGTGTGTGTGTGTGTGTTTGTGTGTGTGTAACAATTAAGAATCCAATGATCTATAGATTCTAGTCCAATTACTTCATTTTTACCAAAGATAAAATTGCAGCTAAGATGACAGATCAATTTATTTCCCCAAGATCTTAGTTAATAGTAGCCCTGACTCCCAGTGCAGTGCTTTTCCTATCATATCACATTGTCTATTCATTTTGTCATTATATTAGACTTTTTTTTTGGAAAGAGCACCATGGTTTTTGACTATAATGCATCATGGCAAACACAACATACACGTATATGCTGGAGTTGCAGAATTTAATTACTGAGACATCTTTGAAACCATTTTGTGATTGGGTGCTCTATGGTAGCCAAGGTAGAATTTCCAGAACAACTAAATAAGTTTCCATTTTTTTACATAGTTGCTTTAATTCTGCATAGTCACAGTTCAGCTATAGTTGAAGACCTGGTACCTTTAGTCAGTATCTGGTATGTAACAGGTGCACAATAATGTTTATAGAATAAATGAATATTTATGAACTCAGACCCACTAATTTGGAAGTCATATGAGGTTTTCTATGATTTTTGCATTGAATTAAAGTTAAAAGGCATTCCCAGATTTTATATTTTTGTTTATTTTTAGTAATTTAAAGAGCATTCAGCATTATAAATATTTTAAATGAATTTTAGTAACTCTTGAATATTTACTTTTGGATAGGGAAAGAAGTTTTCTCTTGTTCACCTAAATTATAATTAGTGAAAAAACAAACCAGAGGGAACCAGTCCCAGTCTCTACCTTTAAAAACTTGTGCTCAGGGGTGGGGATATAGGGAAGTAAATACTCTTAAAACAATGTGACAAATGCTCATAATATGCAATGCTACCAAGGAGAAGGGAACACCTCATCTTCCCAATGGGAACTGAGGAATGATTTATATAGTTATATAGGAGGTGGCATTTTACCTAGATTTTGGAGGGTAACTAGAATTTCCTTTGGGATAAGTGATTATTGAAAGAATACATGGGAAGAAACGAGCATAAGTAGAGTGAGCAGTCAGAGTTGCTGGGGACAGGAAGGTGAGTGTCTGGAAAAGAAGGTTCGGGTCAAGTCGTGAAGAGCTGGCCTTGTATGCTAGGGAATTTGGACTCTATCCTAAAGGGTGTCCAAGAATGTTTTAGAAGAAGACATCGCCTTATCAGATTTGTAATGTTGTAAGAAAATTTTGGTGGCTACTCTGAAGATGGATCATGGAAGTAGACATGACTCTCTGTAGAGGGATATTAGAGAGGCAGATAGATCAAGAAAAAGTTATTACTATAATCCAGGTGAGAGCCCTGGCCAGGTAGCTCAGTTGGTTAGAGCATAGTCCCGATACGTCAAGGTTGTGGGCTTGATCCCTGATCAGGGCACATACAAAAAGCAACAAATGAGTATATTAAAGAGTGGAATAAGAAATTGATGTTTTTATTTCTTTCTCTCTCTAAAAATCAATAACATATATATATATATATATAATATATATATATATATATAAAACTCAGGTGACAGAGGGAGGATGAGGACCTAAGTTAAAACTGACTGGAGGGATAGAAAAGAGGAAATAAGTTCAAGATCTATATTGAAGGTAGGATTGATAAAAACAAAACAAAACAAAATGAAACAAAAACTTAGGAGCTGATTGGTTGTGGGAACAAGGAAGAGAGAATTAAAGGTGATCAAATGTAATAGATTTAGTGCAAGATAGTAGTTATTACAGAGACAAGGCTTGTGGGAGAAGAACCAAGAAGTACATTTTTGAGGGAAACACGGGTTTGGTTTTGGTTAAGCAATGACATCAATTTTAAATATTGAGTTTTGATATTTTCAGCTGGAAAATCAGATCTGGAGCTCCTGAGAGTGAATATATATATATATAGAGAGAGAGAGAGAGAGAGAGAGAGAGAGAGAGAGAAAGGAACTTATTTCTAAAGAAGGAAAACCATGCTCTTTTGATGTGGTAAAATATGCATAATATAAAATTTACAATTTTAATAATTTAAAGTATACAATTCAGTTACATTAAGTACATTCACAATATTGTGCAACCCTCATCAATATCTATTTCCAGAACTTTTTCATCATCCCAAACAGAAACTCTGTATCCATTAAGCAATAACTCTTTTCTTCTTCCTCTGATTAGTCCCTAGTAATCTCTAGTCTACATTTTGTCTCTATAAATTTAACTATTCTAGGCACTTCATATAAGTGTATTCACTTATATGAATGAAAAGAACAAAAAGTTCTGTGAAAAGAACAAAAAGTTGTCCTTTTGTGTATGATTATTTCACTTACCATAATGTTTTCAAGATTCAGCTATGTTTTAGCATAACAGATTCATTCCTTTTTATGGCTAATACTCCACTTTATAAGATACATCACATTTTATATATCCATTTATATATAAAAGACCATATACACTGAAGACCAGCAACATTGAAAGGAAAAGAAATCAACAGAGACAGGAGGGAAGGAGTGGGGGGCGGGGAAAAGGAAGGGAAGGGGAAAGTCAAGGAACATACAGCAAGGACTCATGGACAAAACCAAAGGGGAAGAGCTGAGGGAGGGAAGGAGGGAGGGGGCAAGGGAAAGTGGTGGGGGGTAGGCAGAGACAAATGTGTTTGAAAAAATAAATTAAAATAAAATTTAAAAAATAAAATAAAATAAGATACATCACATTTTATATATCCATTTATCAGTCAGTGGACATTTGGGTTCTTTCCACTTTTGGGCTATTGTGAATAATTGTGTAGTCATTATCAGTATGCATATATCTGTTTGAATCTCTGTTTTCAATTATTTTGGGTGTATACCTAAGAGTGGGATTGCTGAGCCATGTGGGAGCTCTAGCTTTAACTTCTTCAGGAACTACCAGACTGTTTCCTGCAGAGGCTGTACCATTTTGCATTCCCACCAGCAATGTATAAAGATCTAAATTTCACCACATTCTTGTCAACATTTGTTATTTTCCATGTTTAAAAAATTTTATAACCATAGGTGTGAAGTAATATTTTATTATGGTTTTGGTTTGTATTTATAATGACTAATGTATGCTAATTAAGCACCTTTTCATGTGCTTGTTGTTCATTTGTAAATCTTTGGAGAAATGTCTATTCAAGTCTTTAGCCCACATTTTTAATTGGGTTCTTTGTCTTTTTGTTGTTGAGTTGTAGGATTTCTTCATGTATGCTGAATGTCGAAAACCCTTATCAAATATATGATTTGCAAATTATGCTCTCCCTTTCTCTAGATTGTCTTTTCACTTACTTGATAATGTCCTTTGATACACAGACATTTCTAGTTTTGATGAAGTCCAACTTTCTTTTTTCTTTTTTTGTTTGTTTCTGCTTTTGGTGTCCTATCTAAGACTCCACTGCCAAATCAAAGTCATTAAGATTTATGCCTATTTTCCTCTAAGAGTGTTATACTTTTAGCTCTTAAATATAACTCATGTTTGATAGCTTTCCTTTTCTATTTTTGATTTTTCCCTGCTGCAGTGTGATTTTTTTGCTTTGGTATTCTGACCAGGCTGATTTAACTTGTTATCATGTTAAAGGGGAGTCATTCAGCCCTGGTCAGTGACCTTCTGTGTCACAATGTAAAATACTTACCTCTTCATGCTTCAGATCCCTTCTCTGAAAAGTGGAGATAGTACATTTCTCTTTGGGTTGTAGTGAGAATTAAATAAAAGGATTAAGTGTAAAAAAGAATAAGCTGTGTTTTTGGAGCTTGGTAAGAGTTCTACGAGTTCTATAAATGCTAGTTCATATTGTTGTCATCCTCATTATATGCTAGTTTTCATGTAT